TTATTAATCTAAGCGTCTCAGTTGTCTGGAACATATATCTGATGCTTTTCTTTCTTTACCCTAAACGGAAAGTACTATATTTTATTGGTTTTCTACAAACGAAATAAGCTTCAACAAAGGTTGTATAAACTTCATTGAAAATTAAAATAAGGATATGTAAAGGATTCGATAGATATTTCAACTGCCATACATGCAGTTGATACTGATATTTGTATTTGAACTGCTATACCTCTAACGTCTACATTTGAAATACCATGAATGCTAAGCAATACAGAGACTATCATTTATACTGGCACACCTATTAATGCATACAGACTCCAGCATTTGAACTGTCAAACATGCAAGGAAACAAAGACCCTAGTGTCATCCTAAGGTATACAGACGCATTTTAACTGCCATACAGGCTAAAATATGCAGACGCTAGCAGTTGAACTGCAATAAACAATAGGCTACACAGACGCTAGCATTTGAACTGCCTTACATACTGGGCATTGAAGACAATAGGAAATGAACTGCTATACATGTTAGGGTATACAGACGCTAGCATTTTAACTGTCTTACATACTAGGGAATAGACAAATAGCACATGAACTTATATACATGCCAGGGTATACAGACGCTAGCACTAGGATATACAGAAGCCAGCATTTGAACTACCAGATAAAGTACACAGAAGCTAGCATTTGAAGTGTCATACATGCTTAGGTATACAGAAGCTAGCTTTGCAACTGGCATACATGATATTGCATAAAGACTCTAGCATTTTAAATTCCATACCTGCTAGGCTAAACAGATGCTAGCATTTTAACTTCCATACATGCTAGGTAATACAAACTCTAGCAATTGAACTGCCATACATGCTAATGAATACAGATGCTAGCTGCCATTCATGACAGGGCATACTGAATATATCATTATAGTTGCCATACATGCCAGGGTATGCAGAAGCTAGCTTTGCATCTTCCATGTACACAGGCGCAAGATTTTTAGGGTATAAAGAAGCTATCATTTGAACTATCACACATGCTACAGTTTAAAGATATTACTGTCTGAACTGCTATGCATGCTATAGTATACAGACTATAATTTAAACATGTTACTGTATACAGACGCTGGCATTTGATCTGCTACACATTATAGAGTATACATACACTAGCATTGGAACTGCGATGCCTACTAAATTATATATAAACTAGTATTCGAACTGCCATAAGCGCCAGAGTATACGGACGCCAGCGTTTGAACTGCTATACATGTAAAGCTGTACAGAAATGGCATTTTAATTGCCATAGATGCCAAAGCATACGGACGCTTAATATTTAACTATCATACATACTAGGATATACAGGCGGTTGCATTTTATCTGCCATACATGACAGAGTATACAGACGCTAGCATTTTAACTCTCATGCATACTGTGGTATAAAGACGTAAGCTTTGTAGCATGTGCACAAACTTTGAAATTAACCTCCTTACCATTTTAGCAACATATGTTATCTAATTTACACATGAGTAAAATAAGTGATTTTATTGATGATAAAAATACAGAAAATATTTGCAATTTTTATTTGTACAAAATTTCTCTTTATGCTGATTGTTTTCTTGACATTTCTTTTCATTATTTTTACTAGCGCAAAAGAATTCGATCCAAAGCTTTGCAAAGTTTCCGAAAGGATGCATTCAAATAAAGTTTATTTTTTTTCAAATTATGTTTTAGTTGTGTTTTTAAAAGAATTGCCGAGGAAATGTAATTATTGTTATGAAACTGTTTCATTGCATTTACCCATACCTTTTATTTCATCCAAATCACATGTTCATCAAAATATTGATAGGAAAGTATGGGGTGTGCGATATTTTTTAATTACATGTATCCCATTAATATCAATATACAAATATGTGTATACAAGTATACTTTGAGAAAAGATTTTTTTGTTTAGACCAGTAGCCTTAATGCCACACAGTACTTAAACTTGACCTATACAAGTGTGGAAAATACCGTTCTAGTGAATGAAAACACACCATATATATATATTGTGTCGAATGTATCTTCATGGACTAAGACCTGCCGTCATATGACCTATGTGTGTTGTTAACATTCAGATGGCAATGTAATAACGGGAGCTGTAGATCCGTTGCGTAGTCATAGAATCGTAGAGTCTTGATGTAATCTGGACGAAAATAATTTATCATTTATGCCTTTTAACTCGAACAGCACAGGGAAAATATAAAATAAATATGAACCATCTTGTGAGTAAGGTGCAAACGACGACAAGTGGATCACTTTGTCTGGCGAGACTGATCGATCATATCAAGGCAATGTCATAAGTTACATCATAAAAGAAAAATTCGGTGCTGAAATTGTGAATTATTTAGCTAGATGACAACCAATGACTCAGCCAGAACTGCAATAACTGATTACTCAGTCTATTGTCAATTGAAAAATTATCAGACCGAAATGTGAAGAAAAAAAAATAAATAGACCAAATTCAAATAGGGTAGACTGATGAACGCATATAGGTGTTTATAAGAAAAGATTAATAAACACTGATATTCCAAAAAAGCACATAGTTGTTTATCAGAAAGGCTTCGTGATTACACATATTGTCCAAGCAAGTGAAATTATGGTACATAACCTAAAATAGTATTATATAAAATCAAGCTAATCAACAAAACCGAACCATAGCAAAGTTGTCAAGGAGTTGTACAAATATCTTTATGCCTAAACTCGGACTCTACTTAAAATTCTATGATCTGAATAACCAATGTCCGAGTGCTGACCAATCACACGGGAGAAATTGGTTTTCAAAGTTAAGTATAAGTCTGCGCATAGGAGTCTTGCATAGAAATGTACTGGGTTGTTTTAAAACCTTAAAGATTTATTTATTAACATATCTTACATATAAAAAGAACCACAAGAACCACAAAATGTATAATTCATGACAAACATCTTATCCTCAGTAAAAAATATTATTATTATTATTATTATTATTATTATTATTATTTATTATTATTATTATTATTAATTAATTAATTAATTAATATTATTATTATCGTCATCATCATCATCATCATTATCATCATCATCATCATCATTATTATTATTATTATTATTATTATTATTATTATTATTATTATTATTATTATTATTATTATTATTATTATTATTATTACCTATTCAGGAATTGGTTGGCTCATTTCACCCCATTCCTGATATTTTACGACTTTCCATGACCTGACATCTCTGAGACCTAACGCTTTCTTCTCATTCCCATCAGTGCCAGATTTTATATTAGGATTGGCTTTCGTGTTATTAATATCGCCTTCAACTTTTTATACTAGGACGGACTTCCGTGTTATTTCTATCGTTTTCAGCTTTTCATGCTTGGACTGGTTTTCGTTTTATTCAAATATTCAAGAGGCTGTTTCTCTTTGTGTAATTTCTCTGACCAGGTTGTATAGTTCTCCATTCATTTGTTTTATTTTATTTATTTATTTATTTATTTATTCCTTGCGTGCTTCATCGGAATACCTTCTTACTGTATGTCTATAATTTAGTTCATGCACTTTGTTTCTTTTTCTTAATTAGAACTATATCTCCGGTCTCCTATCTTGTGGCAAGTCTTTATCATCACCTTTCCTGTTCTTAACACTTTTTACGCCTTGCTAAAAGTAGTCCTGTTTATTGGTGCATTCAAGAACATATCTTGTATAATTGTCATTGTTCGTCTACAGCAAGTTTGTCGTGCCTATTTTGTGCGCACACTGAGATAGTTTGCTGTACTCACTTATCGGCCTTACTTCTGCACGTTCTGAAAATGCTCAAAATCATGTATACACGAATCAAATGCATTGTCGAAGACCAATGGAGCCAGAAACATTTTAGTATGTGAAAATGACTACCATGGAGAGCAAGAAGAAAAGTCTATGATGAAAGGTCGACTTTCCGCCGTAGGTAATGTACAGTAGTAGTAGTAGTAGTAGTAGTAGTAGTAGTAGTAGTAGTAGTAGTAGTAGTTGTTGTTGTTGTTGTAGTAGAAGAAGTGTTACGTATTCTATATGGCTGTTCTAGGTTCAAATCGAAGCTTCTTGTGGGATTGCTTCTAATCTAGTTCTAAAATTTATAGTCTAGACACCTCTCTCTCTCTCTCTCTCTCTCTCTCTCTCTCTCTCTCTCTCTCTCTCTCACACACACACACACACACACACACACACACACATACACACACACAGAATCACGACGCACTGGTTCGGCATCTTTTACATGGTGGGTTGAATAGCACTCAACGACACTTTCCGATGATTTGATCAGCTATAATACAATAATACAGGTGATTTTACTATTGAATTTGTGTGTACCAAAATTGCATACTCTGTAGTTGTCCACAAAATTTATTTTCCTTACTATGGAAATAAAAGCGTTCACCTATTAATAACATATTTAGTAATAAAACGTGTTCAAAGCAGAAAAAATCCCCACTATCGATATATGTCAGCTATTTTGCAAGAGTATCTCTTTAATAAACAAGCCCAACACTGAGCAAAATTTATCAGTGTAATTGCAAAATTGTAATTTCTAGTAAAACGTAAGTTACATACAGTGACAAAGTAAATAAATAAATGAATAAATAAATAGAATTGTGTGTAGGCGTTTGTTTAATGGAGGTGACAGGTAATTCAACCATGCCTACAGGTAGAGTTTCAGTGTATGCTGCTGTTAAGGAAGATAGCTATACAAAGTAATACGGTAAAGTATGGATTTGTATATAGAGTGTGATTGCGATTTAGAATTTTAACGTAGCTTTAACAATTTTTCAGCCATATCGCTACGATGTCTGCAGTGTGACACGTTATAGTGATATCTAGCACTGGAGCATCATGCTGCATAATGTCCCACCCAGTCACATTATCCTGATACCAAGCCGACCAGTCTTATCACTAACCTCTTAATGCTAAGTGCCAAGGAAAGCAGATGTTAGTATCATTTTTGAAAGTCTTTGGTACGACTCGGCCGGGGCTCCAACTCGCGACCTCCCACATCCGAGGTGGACGCTCTAAAAACTAGGCCACCAAAGCGGTACGATTTGTATATAGACACATTTTATATTCATGACGGCATCGTATCTTTAAAGGAGTTAGATAGCTTGGGGGGTAGGGGAAATAGCTACAAGGTCATTGGCGATCTTTTGTACGAGACTTAGTCTTCTATCCAGTCTTCGTTGGTATTCCATAATGAATGGTTGTTGTTCATTTTAGGAACACAACAAATATTTTTTGTTGTGTGTGTGTATGTGTGTGTATGTGTGTGTGTGTGTTTGTGTGTGTTCCAGTTCCACTCCGAGTTGTCTATAGCGCTCGCCCTTGCCGATTCCTGTCATCTGGCCTCTGCCAGTGCCGGTTCGAGTCTCCGGCTCGGTCAATGTGGGTATGTGAGAAAGCTATCAGTAGCTTCCATTTTGTCAGCAGTTCTTAATACCAGATTCTTCCTCCACCAGTTATACTAGTCGCCATAAATAGCATATCTCGCGCTGAGAAATGGCATTAAACCCCAAAACAAAAATAATAACAACCAGAGAAAGCTGTTTGCGATTATGAAACGAGAGGTTACAATTTCTAATTAGATAATATAAATAAATTACTGTGTTATCATAGGTGGGTGCTCTTGACCTAATATATATATATTCTAGGGTTCCCACGCTACCGGATAAATGGGAAAGAAAATGGGAGAAATTAATTTTTCTCGACAGTGAAAAATCCTTGAAGTTTGAAAATATGGATGAAAGTCTTGGAAAACAACCGGCAATTTTCCGCCACCACTTGCCCAAAACAATTACGTCATTGAGTCGAAACTGAACTGATCGTGAGCTATATTTAACGAATTCTGACCAGAATATTTGGAGGTTGCAGTATAGGTCATTTGGATGCTTGCCATAAACACATTTGAGGAGTCAATCCAAAGACTGAGTTGATTAGATTCGTTTAATAGATTGGTTTTCCCAAAGACAGCACTATATCTGTATCTTTTCTTACATGGAAGGTAAGAAGACCAGTCTAGTATCAAAAGATTACAACATGGTGTTTCGCTGCTTATCAGGTGGTCTAAAAAACTTAAATGTTAAATCGAGTCGTACCTGCATGAAATGGATATGAAAATTATATTCTCATAAATTCTGAGTATTAAAATCATGTCTTTAATCTGCTGAAAGACAAATGAAACTACGGCATTGATGAAATTCGACCTGGCATTTGTGATCTGCATTTGTAGTCACACGAGTACTCAAATCTCACAACCCACACGTTCATGACATCATTGTTCCAGTAGTCACCTGATATCAATAATAACCAAGCTCAAACGTTTTTGAAAAAAATGAAAAATTTTAAACCAAAGTAATGTATTAGTTGCAATAAATATACAAAAACACAGGAACCCAAATTTTCTAGATTTATTCCGTGAGTAACAAGGGGGGGTGTCTGTTTTTTCACTTGACTATCACGTGGACATGCTCTCTGCTTGATGAATCTAACTGGCCAGATTGCTGTGATAACATATTTATTGTAGTTGTTCTCGAAATTAATTTGTTCAAAAAAGTTATGTCTGTTTGTTTTGTTGTTGTTTTTTTTTATACTAAAGATCTACTTCGTTTACAGTTACATTATAAAGGGGGTTTGATAAGTCATGTGACTAGTGTTCCAGGTCAGGTTTCGTTAATGCTGTAGTCTGCCAGCGGATTATAACGATTATAATGCAGTAGTATAGGAAAACCAGGTTTTCAACTCACTTTGTTTTTTTACCCTCCAAACAAGTATAAATTATAGTCCTAAATTATCCCCCACCCCACCCCCTTTTTTTTTCCAAAATAAAACAGGGTTTTGACTCACCCTCCCCCACCTCTTTTTTTTCCCCCTACTACTACCTGTAAACAGGTATTTTGTAACCAAACAAAACAACAGGTGTTGGAATGCGATAAACTCTTTACACAGAGGTGACTAATTTGTTAGAACAGCGCATGTGTGGAATACAATTATTCTAAAGACGGCAAACGGGTTTTACCACAAGATAACAGGATGAAAATTAAACTGTGCATTAGAATGTTTCAGTTAACAAGGTGGAAATTAAACTAGCATTAGAATGAAAATGATATTATTTTAGTTATATTATATCTTAAGTTTAGATAAAATTTTATGTTACTCATATTTTTTATGATATTTTTTTTCATACTTGCTAACCCTCATTGGTAGAATGTCTGTTAACATATTGTCAATAATACGAAATTCACGTAATAAATCATCCATATTATATTTAACTCCTCGTAGGTAAGACCGGATCTGATCAAGTAGTTTCTTGTAAGTTTTAATTGATGTTAAACAACCGTGCTTCTTTATCAAAAGTCTTGGTTCTACTTTTTTACACGCCGCTGTAAGTGAAACACCAATAGCGGATATGATTAACAAAAAAGGATTTAATGATACCCCACTTGTAATTATACCAGAACTGGTCATTAACAAGGGTAGATAAGATATTACTCGAAGGATCTTGTTGTAGTATTTGTAACATTTTTTCACGCACCAAAGTTTTTTATGATAATATTTATAGTATTGTATTAGTACGTCCACATCCTGTTCTGGAATATCTTTTGAAATATGATTAAAATCAACTATACTTCTTTTCATTATAATATTAGTTCACATAGTCCTATGTTTGGTTAATTCATAATAAGAGCTGGTTGTTCAGCTATAAATTCCAAACACCAGAGAAAAATTATTAATTTTAAAGTTTTATCAACTGGTTCAAGTACAAATTCTTCTTCAGAATTTTGGTTTATTATTACAGATAATACTCCAGATGAGTCATCATTTAGATGACGAGATAGATATTTGGTAGATATTCTAAACTTTGCACTGCTAAGCACTGACAATCTATACATACCAGTAACTTCTGCAGTGTATTTGATAGAATTATTTTGCCTCGTCCATGTACTAGACCCAGATGCAACAGTATACACAATATTTTTAATCTGTTTGTGAGGTATTTTAATCATATTTGTTTTCTCAACAATATTAGGAATTCCACTAATAATATCATTGAGTTTTGTGTTAATATCATTGAGATTCGTGTTAATATTAGCGAGTGTAATGCCAACATTTGATGGATTTCCAAAAAATTCATCTCTAATTTTGTTTATGCTTCTGCGAAAACTTAAAAATGTGTTCACGTGACTGGTAAAATCATTTTTGAGTGCTGTGATTTCATTAGTAATTGAAGCGTCCCAATCATTGACGTATTTTTTAGTGACAGCATCCCCATCCTCAGTTGGGTTTCCAAGATCTGTAATCTTGTTTTGTGTCATAACAATATTCCCACTTGGATTTCGTACAACTACATCTGACAGTTTTACATTACTCGTCTTTAATCGTCCTTCTTTGTCTTGGAAAATGACAACTTCATCTGGATCTACGCTGGTAAGATTTAGTAAATTATTGATTTCATTTTTGAGCCGATCAAGAGTTGCATATTTGGATAAGTCACCTTTAAAACTTTTTGTGGATAAATCTCCTAATAATGTTCCAAATTTTGTATAATAACTCATTATTTACTATCCTAGATAAAATTATCAACACTAGTTTAATATTATACAAAAATGGCAAAATCGTTGATATTAAACTTTGATACAGAGAGACTAGTGAAGCATAAACATAACAATGAACTTCCTGATTGTCATTATCTTATTGTTGGGCGAACTGGATCGGGGAAAACAAATTTGCTTATGAATTTGCTTCTTGGTGATAATTTTAACTACGACAGAGTTTATATTTACACAATCAATCCACAGCAAGATAAGTATGAGTTATTAAGTGAGTATAATAACAAGCTTCGTGATGATCTTAAAGCTGGTGAAGATTTTTTTATAATTAGGCAGCCAGAAGATCTTATTCCAGTTAATCAACTTGATGCAGATGAACATAAGATAGTAGTTTTTGATGATATTCCGCTAAACAACATGGAGATGAACAAAATAAGATCATATTTTTCACTGTCCCGTAACAAACAGTGTAATTCTGTTTATCTCGCTCAAGGATTTTATAATGTTGATAGGTTTATTAGGCGAAATACGGGTTGTTTTATTTTATTTCCAGGACTGGATAATGTTGACGTTAGAAATATTGCAAGCGAGCAATGCGGTGGCGTGACAAAAGATAAGTTTATTGAACTTTACCGTAATGCTACAAAAGATAAATTTAACTTTTTCTTATTTGATAAACTTACAAATGATCCAACTAAAATGTTTCGCTGTTGTATTAACACTTACTTACAATAAAGCGTTTCAATTTTATAAAATTTATAATTATAATAATGGACAAACGAGCAAGATACAGACAACACATAGAAGATCTAAAAAAACTTGCTCAATCTCAGGCATCACTTAAGCAAAAAGTACAAGAAGCGCGACGTGGGCAAGTAACTGCTACAGAAACAACAGCTACAATTTTCAAGCCGGTTACTGAAGCATTATTAGGTAAACAACCTGAAACTAAACCACTGTCAGAAGAAGAACTTAAACAACTACAGGAAAAAGGTTTGGTTGGAATTGTTAGAGAACAACAGGAAGCAGCTGCTGCAAAACTTGTTACTAGATCTGATGAAGAAAAGAGAAAACTGATTGAGGCACTTACAGCAAATATAGCTGATCCTGCGGCTAGACAAGCAGAAACAGATCGATTGATAAACAATCCGCTGGAACTTGAGCGAAGATTAGCAGAGTTAACAACGCAAGGAATAACAAATATTATAACAAATTTATCAGGAGACATAAAAGATATCAGAGAGGAGCAACAAAGAGTCGGTGATCTTACTGTAAAGTTTATGGAAGTTGGAGATCAAAGATTTTATTTTACAAAAAGAGCAAATGATGAGATAAAAGGTAGTGAATATGATGATTTTTTAAACAAAGAAAATATAAGGGGTATTGATGATATAAGCAAGTGGACTGATGCAGAATATCAAGCATTAATCGATAAATTTGATGTAATATTTAATGACGGAGCTGCTGCTAAAGATGAATTAAACACGGTTACAG